TCAGAACCTAAAGCTCTCTATCACTGACTACTTCTCATCCACTATAGGGCCAATTTTTTTCAATTGCTGTAATTTTTAATAATTTGGGAAAATGTAAATATACCATTTTCCTCTTTCTAGTTTGGTCAAAATTGATTTAATTTTGACTATTCCGGTAAACTAACGGTTGTTGCAATTTTCCCTTAATGTAATGATAAATTTTTGAATTTTGGTTTAACCGTTCAAGTTCAATTGAGTTGGTACTTTGTATAACTTTCAGACAAAAAAAAAGTAATTGTTTAGTGGAAATTAAAATCAAGATTTTAATTCAAGTCATAGTAAACAATTAATTTTAGGCCCCATTTGGGAGCGACTTTGAGAGTTGATTTTTTGATCGTTAGGAAAAAAGTGGAGGCCACCTGTGAGAGAAGAAGTCAAACTTTACGATCGAAATAGTGAAATAACGGTCAAAAAATCAATTTTTTGGTGTGAAAAATCACTCTCAAATGGCCCCTTAATCACACATTTCATGAAGGCTATAACTTTTCAACGACACACTTTATCAATTTTTATCAAAATTTACTAAAAAACCGTTTTTAATCCCCCACCAAATAATGGCTAAATAAGAGAAATAATAGTGCAAAATAAAATTTGAAAAAAATATAATAGAGAAACAACAAAAACTTGTGTTTAAATTTGACACAAAATTCTCTCTGGTGACAATTCTTGTGGAGTTTGAACGTGGTTTAGGCCTTAGCATCTCAAAGAGATTAAATGTAAAATTCTCTTTATTTTAAAGAGTTAATATTATCTTGAAGAGATTTTCTATTTTTAGAGGGTTTCTGTTTTCATTAAACTCAGCCGTAAAGGCCAAAAAGTCCCAGAAAATTAATGAATCGTCACTCTCCTCTCCTCTTTGACTGCTTTTCTTCCCTCCCTCGATTTTCCCTCCACGGACTCATTTCACCAAGCTAGTTTCACTATCCTTCTAGAATAATGCTAAAACTGTCATTGTTAATCTATCTAACTCAGTGTCCTCCCCACAACTACATTCAACCCTTTCAACTTTCATGTGAAAACCCACTCCATTGGTACCTCCACTTTTCATTCTTTATCGAAATGCTTTACAGAACTTCTATTGATTATTTGTTCAGACTTTTAATCAGTTCGACACTCATCTTTAACCATAGCTAACAAAATGGATTTTCTGAAACAGCTTTTGTTTCTGCTGAACTTCTGCTTCTTCACCAATTTAGTGCACTTTGCGGATTCTTCTAACAGGGATGCTGCAATTTTGCTGGGGGTCAAGAACAGCCAACTCGATGACCCGTTAGGAAAACTCGATGACTGGGTCGGGACAACTCGGAATGCTCCGTGCAACTGGAATGGAATTTCCTGTGACCCCCGGACTCTGGATGTGGTTTCCATTAATCTCTCAAGTTTTAATGTTTCTGGTAATTTTCCGGCTGATTTCTGCCGGATTTTATCCCTCCAGAACCTCGATCTCTCCAACAACAGTTTAGTGGGTCCCGTTACTTCTGATTCCATCTCTCTCTGTTCTTATCTTCAGTCTCTCAATCTCTCGTCCAATTATTTTGATGGAAACTTGCCGGAGTTTTCGACGGAGTTTTTGAATCTGACCCTTCTGGATTTTTCATTTAACAGTTTTACAGGTGAAATTCCGGGGACTGTTGTCAACTTGCCAAATCTCCAGGTTCTATCTCTTTTCTCGAATCTGCTCGATGGGTCAATCCCTGAAACTTTATCAAATTTAACTGAGTTGACTCGCTTAGAACTGGCTTATAATCCTTTTAGGCCTGGTACACTGCCTGAAAACATCGGACGACTGACAAAGCTTCGAAACTTGTGGTTACCTCACACAAATCTTATGGGAAATATTCCCGACTCTATTGGGAATCTTGTTTCTCTTAAAAACCTGGACATATCGAACAATAGTCTTACTGGAAAAATCCCAGAAAGCATTGGTGGATTAAAAAGCGTGGAACAAATTGAACTGTATAAGAACCAACTATCTGGAGAACTACCAGACGCATTCTTGAATCTCACTTATTTACTTCGGTTCGATGCTTCGGAAAATAAACTTACTGGAGAGATGCCTGAAAGTCTTGCAAGTCTGTCCCTTGAATCGTTGAATCTCAATGACAACTCTTTGGAAGGTGTAATTCCAGATATTTTAGCCTTAAACCCGAAGCTTAACCAGCTGCATCTATTTAATAACAGATTTTCTGGTACTTTACCGGGCAATTTGGGTATGAACTCAGAATTGGAAGATATTGATGTTTCTAATAACAATTTGGAAGGCCCATTGCCTCAGAATTTATGTTACAGAAAGAAGCTTCAGCGTTTAATACTTTTTGAGAATAGAATGTCAGGTTCAATCCCAGAATCATATGGAGATTGCAGTAGTTTAACGTACGTGCGCATTCAACACAATGAACTCTCTGAAACTGTGCCTGAGGGATTCTGGAGTTTCGGTGGACTTGAACGTCTTGAGATCAGTAATAACAAATTGGAGGGTTCTATTCCGCCTGCGATTTCCAATGCAAAAGGCTTAACAAAATTAGTGATCTTTGGCAACAATTTTTCTGGCAATTTGCCTTCAGAAATTTGTGATTTACATGAGCTTGCTATTGTGGATCTAAGTATAAACCGATTTTCTGGTGAGTTGCCTTTGTGTATCATCAATTTGACAAAGTTACAAAGGTTTGACATAAAGGAGAATACGTTCACCGGTGAAATCCCGAAAACTATTAGTCTTTGGAGGGAGCTCACAGAGTTGGATTTTTCTCACAATCAATTGTCCGGTGTAATTCCAGAAGAGTTGGGGAGTTTGCCCGTGTTAACAAACTTGGATCTTTCCTGGAATTCTCTTTCTGGAGCAATTCCAAAGGCGTTGACTAAGCTGAAGCTTAGCAAGTTTAATGTCTCCAATAATAGGCTTGAAGGGAAAGTGCCAATTGGTTTCAATGCAAAGTTTTATCTCTCAAGTCTAATGGGCAACCCGGATTTATGTAGCCCGGATCTGAAACCACTTCCTCCTTGCTCAAGATCCAAACCCGTTGGCTTGATGTTGGTAGGGATATTATCAATACTTGCATTGATACTTATTGGGTCACTTCTTTGGCTCCTAATCAGGACCAAGAAGTTTATTGCATTTGGAAGTAAAAATAAGCAGTCTTGCAAAGTCATCTCTTTCCAGAAGGTTGGGTTCAATGAAGAAGAAGTGTTGGCCTCTTTAACCAGTGAGAACGTTATTGGGACTGGGAGATCAGGTCGGGTTTATCGAGTCAGGTTGAAGAGTGGACTGACCGTGGCAGCCAAGAGGTTTTGGGAGGTGGGGCGGCTACCAGAATCCGAGAGGGTGTTCCAGTCGGAGGTGGAGACATTGAGTCAAATTCGACATGCTAACATTATTAAATTGTTGTTTAGTTGCATCAACGAGGATTTCAAGATATTGGTATATGATTACATGGAGAATGGGAGTTTGGGAGATGTATTGCATGGGGAGAAGGGTGGAGTATTGTTGGACTGGCCTAGGCGCTTTGCCATTGCACTTGGGGCTGCTCAAGGGCTCGCGTATTTGCACCATGATTGTGTTCCTCCCATTGTGCATAGGGACATTAAACCCAACAACATATTGCTAGACGAGGAATTCAGGCCGAAATTGGCTGACTTTGGTTTGGCAAAGACAATGCATCAGGACGAGGATGAGGGTGGGCAAGTCATGTCTCGCGTGGTTGGCTCTTACGGCTACATTGCTCCAGGCAAGGCTCTCGGTTCTTTATCTTATAGCCATTTTCTTAACTGAATTGCTTTTTAAATTTACTTTATGTTGTAAAAAAGTAGAAGGCTCTAGAATTCCTATTATGACATTGACAATGCACAAGATATTTACGTTTGACATAACAAATTGCAGAATATGCTCACACAATGAAGGTTACCGAGAAGAGTGATGTGTATAGCTTCGGGGTTGTGTTACTGGAATTGTTATCCGGTAAAAGTCCTAATCATTCCTCGTTTGGTGAGAACAAGGACATTGTGCAGTGGGTAACAGAGACTGCATTTTTATATCCAGAACAAGGAAACGAAAGTGTTGATGGCAGCTTCGATATTGTCTGTTTGGATCAGATATTAGATATTCGGCTGATTCCATCTGCAATTGAATATCAGCAGGTAAAGAGGATACTGAATGTGGCTTTATCGTGCACTTCAGAATTACCTGCAGACAGGCCCTCCATGAGAAGAGTCGTCGAATTACTCAAGCTCCATTCCTCAACTCATATGAAGTAAATATTTTGGCAGCCAGTAAAAAATCGTGGTATTGTTTGATCGGACTAGTTAGGATTAGGCTAGAACTTTAATTGCACTGAAAATTGATCGAGCCAGTTTGGATCCCTGGCAGCTGAAAAACTTAGTGAGGTTTGATCTGTTAATGTTTTTCATGTTTGCAATGTCGATTTAGCAGAGAATACTTGAACTGAAGTTTTGAGCTGCGTGAGGAAAATTGATCCACTTATTTATTTGGAGGTTTCTATTAAGTAGGTTGAATTGTTGTGAAGTGAGATGAAATTCTGTGACTACTTCGCATGTTGTGATTATATTTTTTCAATTAGAACTTTTTCTTGACTAGAAATATTATTTAGTGTATGGATAAAATTATAAGTTACTAAAATTATAATTTGATCAAATAAGTGATGAATCAGTGCGTAGTAATTGTGGGTTCTATAAAGTATGTATTATAAATTAAAGATTTTATGTCTGTCTCTAATTCTTAAAATATGTCATGCAGTTTCTGTTGAAAATAAAATTTAATTAAATTTATTCATTCTTTCGAGTTTAAGCATTTAGAGGAAGCGATTCAAATATGGTGCGTATATGTGCAAAAGTCAGCCAAGTTATGACATCTACCACTCATAATGAAAAATGTATAGAACGAGTTATAATTACCATTAATTTTGTACTTTGGTTAACAAATATATAAAACTACTAGCTAAAAATGCATGTGTATCATCAATTTGACAAAGTTACAAAGGTTTGACATAAAGGAGAATACGTTCACCGGTGAAATCCCGAAAACTATTAGTCTTTGGAGGGAGCTCACAGAGTTGGATTTTTCTCACAATCAATTGTCCGGTGTAATTCCAGAAGAGTTGGGGAGTTTGCCCGTGTTAACAAACTTGGATCTTTCCTGGAATTCTCTTTCTGGAGCAATTCCAAAGGCGTTGACTAAGCTGAAGCTTAGCAAGTTTAATGTCTCCAATAATAGGCTTGAAGGGAAAGTGCCAATTGGTTTCAATGCAAAGTTTTATCTCTCAAGTCTAATGGGCAACCCGGATTTATGTAGCCCGGATCTGAAACCACTTCCTCCTTGCTCAAGATCCAAACCCGTTGGCTTGATGTTGGTAGGGATATTATCAATACTTGCATTGATACTTATTGGGTCACTTCTTTGGCTCCTAATCAGGACCAAGAAGTTTGTTGCATTTGGAAGTAAAAATAAGCAGTCTTGCAAAGTCATCTCTTTCCAGAAGGTTGGGTTCAATGAAGAAGAAGTGTTGGCCTCTTTAACCAGTGAGAACATTATTGGGACTGGGAGATCAGGTCGGGTTTATCGAGTCAGGTTGAAGAGTGGACTGACCGTGGCAGCCAAGAGGTTTTGGGAGGTGGGGCGGCTACCAGAATCCGAGAGGGTGTTCCAGTCGGAGGTGGAGACATTGAGTCAAATTCGACATGCTAACATTATTAAATTGTTGTTTAGTTGCATCAACGAGGATTTCAAGATATTGGTATATGATTACATGGAGAATGGGAGTTTGGGAGATGTATTCCATGGGGAGAAGGGTGGAGTATTGTTGGACTGGCCTAGGCGCTTTGCCATTGCACTTGGGGCTGCTCAAGGGCTCGCGTATTTGCACCATGATTGTGTTCCTCCCATTGTGCATAGGGACATTAAACCCAACAACATATTGCTAGACGAGGAATTCAGGCCGAAATTGGCTGACTTTGGTTTGGCAAAGACAATGCATCAGGACGAGGATGAGGGTGGGCAAGTCATGTCTCGCGTGGTTGGCTCTTACGGCTACATTGCTCCAGGCAAGGCTCTCGGTTCTTTATCTTATAGCCATTTTCTTAACTGAATTGCTTTTTAAATTTACTTTATGTTGTAAAAAAGTAGAAGGCTCTAGAATTCCTATTATGACATTGACAATGCACAAGATATTTACGTTTGACATAACAAATTGCAGAATATGCTCACACAATGAAGGTTACCGAGAAGAGTGATGTGTATAGCTTCGGGGTTGTGTTACTGGAATTGTTATCCGGTAAAAGTCCTAATCATTCCTCGTTTGGTGAGAACAAGGACATTGTGCAGTGGGTAACAGAGACTGCATTTTTATATCCAGAACAAGGAAACGAAAGTGTTGATGGCAGCTTCGATATTGTCTGTTTGGATCAGATATTAGATATTCGGCTGATTCCATCTGCAATTGAATATCAGCAGGTAAAGAGGATACTGAATGTGGCTTTATCGTGCACTTCAGAATTACCTGCAGACAGGCCCTCCATGAGAAGAGTCGTCGAATTACTCAAGCTCCATTCCTCAACTCATATGAAGTAAATATTTTGGCAGCCAGTAAAAAATCGTGGTATTGTTTGATCGGACTAGTTAGGATTAGGCTAGAACTTTAATTGCACTGAAAATTGATCGAGCCAGTTTGGATCCCTGGCAGCTGAAAAACTTAGTGAGGTTTGATCTGTTAATGTTTTTCATGTTTGCAATGTCGATTTAGCAGAGAATACTTGAACTGAAGTTTTGAGCTGCGTGAGGAAAATTGATCCACTTATTTATTTGGAGGTTTCTATTAAGTAGGTTGAATTGTTGTGAAGTGAGATGAAATTCTGTGACTACTTCGCATGTTGTGATTATATTTTTTCAATTAGAACTTTTTCTTGACTAGAAATATTATTTAGTGTATGGATAAAATTATAAGTTACTAAAATTATAATTTGATCAAATAAGTGATGAATCAGTGCGTAGTAATTGTGGATTCTATAAAGTATGTATTATAAATTAAAGATTTCATGTCTGTCTCTAATTCTTAAAATATGTCATGCAGTTTCTGTTGAAAATAAAATTTAATTAAATTTATTCATTCTTTCGAGTTTAAGCATTTAGAGGAAGTGATTCAAATATGGTGCGTATATGTGCAAAAGTCAGCCAAGTTATGACATCTACCACTCATAATGAAAAATGTATAGAACGAGTTATAATTACCATTAATTTTGTACTTTGGTTAACAAATATATAAAACTACTAGCTAAAAATGCAGTCTCTTGTTATCATGGAGACAAATTTGAGATATGGATGATGGATATATGCCAAAAAATCTTTGAAATGGAGAAGCGCAAGCAATTTTGGATGATTGCTGGAGTAGTCCAAAAAAAACATTGCAAAATAATACTCTCATACAAAATGTAGAATCATAAACACTGACCTAAAGAAATGGCTCTGATACGTAAAAATGATTGAATAGCTAGGCAAAGTACATCTGCAATACCGACACTATGTGCGTTGTACATTTAAGCCACGTAATGATTCGTCAACAGAAATAAGACTTCACATATTTTAACATTTGCTTTCACAATTGGTAGAAGAAAGGAAAGAATATAAAGCAAAATCCTTCGTGATTACAAATCATCGACCAAGAAAATATTATAAACGTCACTTGGCAACTGCATCATGGTTGTTACCTTTGGTTTCAGAGTCTGGAAGAGTTCCTAGGTCGGTGCGAGCTTCCTTCTCTTCTTGAGGAAGTGAAGAACTGGAGGAATTATTTTCATCATGCACAACAGAATCAGCATTTCCATTTGAGCCAGGAGATGCCTCCTCCTTTGATGAGCTTGAAGTATCTGAAGGATCTTCAGATCTATTTTGGCCTGAATCCATACCATCACTACCAGCCTTCTGTTGTTTGACTGCGTTATCACCCTCACTTCCACCTGACGTTTCAGAATTTTTTTCTATACCTTCAGCAGTCTTCGTATCTCCATTTTGTCCATCAGATACAACAGATTCTGTTTTGTCAGAAGAACCTTTTGAATCTCCATTAGCCATGCTCACATTTTCAATTGCTGAGGTTTGAGTTGAATCAGAACCTGATTTCTCATTCTCAGTATAGTTTTTCTCAGTTTGCTCATTTTGTGTCCCATCTTCACGAGGAACAATGTTCTCCGGTGTTTTGTTTTCTTTTTGAATGGAATCAGAGGTAGAGTTATCATTAACTTGATCTTGTTCCTTAACTTCAGATGTTCCTCCTGAAGAATCAGGGTTGTGCCCTGAATCTGCGTGTTCATCACTTGTGACTCCAGTGGCCCCCACATTTGAAGAAACACTTTTCTCAGTTATCCCACTATCTTGGTCATTTAAGCCCACTTCATTCTCATTTCCATTGGTTGCCTCGGAATTATTATTCTTATTTTCCTCTAACTCATTTAGTTCCGTGTTTTTGGTTTTCTCCTTCCCACTTAAATTAGCATTGGTAACATTCTCGTATTTTTGAGAATTCTGAACCTCGTCAACAGAGGTGTTTTCTCCCTTTGAATTCTCCTCTTTCACCTCATTAGTCCCATCAGTTCTGTCATGAGTCTCACCCTCAGAGGAACCTAATTTGTCAGTTCCACCACCTTTTTCCTCATCTGCTTTGTTGTTTCCTTCCATGTCTTCACTATCTTGTCCATTGTCCCCTCCATTTCTCTCTTCTGTCCCTTTATCTTCACTTCCATTCTTCTCGTCTTGTGTAACTCCCTTCTCTTCAGTCCCGTTCTGTGTTTCTTCACTTGCTTTCTCCTCCTTTCTCTCGCTTTTTTCCTCCATTTCCTCATTTCCCTGCTCATTGCTCCCTGTCTCTTCCTTTGTCTCTTCATTCTCTACCTTTCCACTATCCTCTTCTTTAATATCAGTTTCTGCATCGTCTTTTTCCTGATTTCCCTTTTCTTCATTACTCACCCCTTCATTTGCATTATTCATGCCCTTCTCTTCTTTCATATCCTGTTCTCGGTTCTCCTCTTCACCTTTTTTATCTTCACTTCTCTCTCCAACTTGTTCTTCGCTGCTTCTTTCACTCTCTTCTTCTCCAGTGTCCTTCCCTTCACCATCCGCTCTATGGCCATCTTCGTCCTTCTCTTCAGTGTCTTTCCCATTGCTATCTTCAGCCTCATTATTTTCCTTCTCCCCATTCAACTCTTCTTTTTCTTTCTCGGTTCCCAACTCCATCTTCTTTTCTCCATTTACAGAAGCCTCTCTATCCTCACCTTCTTCTTCTATTTTTTCTCGATCTTGCCCTTGATCCTCTGGCTTGTTTTCATCATCAAAGTGCATCCTCTCGTCTCCTGGCTCCTCTTTCTGCTTCTCATCTTCAATATCTGTTTCTTCATGCCGAGGTTGAAGATCCTTTCTCCCCAACTTGATAATATCCTTCCCATCCTTTACCTTCTCTGAAATTCTTGTCGTTTCTTCATATGATGCCTTCTTGTCACGGGAGTGCTGCACTTGGTAAAGCAGCCAGATGCAGACTCCGAGAACCACACATAATTGGAGAACATGCTTCACTTTAAATCCTTTGTTTCTCTGGTTCCGACGTGGTGATTGCTTAAACATGATGATTTTCCTTAAATCTTGTCTCGTATGCGAGATTGAATTAGTGCTTCAGAAGCTCGAAATTTCAAATTCAAATGTGTTCAAGTTCTATCAAATAATTAAATGGTTAAAAATGTCAAAAACAATTCTTTGCGAGAAATTCAAATTTCAAAAGTAATTTGCAAGAGCAATTATAAATTTCAGAGAAATTAACCTTAGGAGAACAAGAATAATTGGATATATAGTTATCATTATACTGTTAAGTAACCCACGATCTTAAATTAGTAAAGGACATAAACACAGATCAAATCGGCCTCAGTAAGTACGGAGAAAAAAACAAAAACAAAAACCGATAGAGAAAAATGACTTCAATCTTTGCTCAAAGGGCAAAACAAATCCTGCAGTCTCTAAACCGTAGGACAAATCTTGCCGAGGTAAACTAATTGTTCAAGGTAATTACAACAAGAAAAGGATAAAGAATGCTAAATACTAATTATCTAATTTCCCATTGTAACCAAATTATTAATTCAATAGCAAGAAACCCCACTTCAATATGACAGAAAAAACTTCCAAACATGAACCGGATCACAAGTTTTTACCATTTCCAAATCCCATCAGCCCAAATGAGCAAAAGGAAAAGAATGATTGAAATTAAAAAGTTAATGAGCAATGCCCAACAAAGCAGATCTGCACTTCTTATACATACATGAATTCTTTGCAAGGATATCAATAAAGTGTAGAAATTAAAAATCATACCTTATTCCCCAGGTAGATCGATCATTCCCAGTTGAATTGATGTAAAAGTGGGCCCGTTATGGTAAAAATCTTGACTTATGATTAGTTTCCAAGAAAAGGTGAACGCCTATAACTCACAATGCATTTTGCTTAAATACACTAATCAATTAGAAGGTTCTTCGGGTGGGTGTGAAGTAGTTTTTCCGAAGTTCAAATGAAACTTTCAAAATGGAGTAAGAAAATGGCTTCTTCAATCTCTGATAGATTCAGATCTGAAATCTCTATCATGTAAATGTGTACAATACATATGTATAGTGGCACTTGTGTGGAGAATGGAGAGTGGAGAGAGACGTCAGGTTTCGATCATTTCTTGACATTTCAATGTTGTCGGTGTTTTATCTAGGATTAATACCATTTTCAATGCTATTTTTGGAGAAGTTTAGCACATGTTTGGCCAATTATAATGAGAATTTCGAAAAAAATATTTTGAAATAGTAATTTTTTTTTACTTTGTGTGATCAAAAAAGAATAAAAAAATTTGGATTTATGTGTAATATTATTGTATTGAAAAATGTGATTGACAATAAGAGGAAAAAAAAAAGAATTATAATTATAATTTAATAGTCTGTAGATTTGTTGATCATTCAATTGAGCCCTTGTTTGGTCTCATTAAAGGAATTAATAAAGAGAAGAATCTGAAAAAAAAATGGCATACATTCTTTTCATTAGAGGCACCAATATATATACAGGAAGAGCCACGAGAGCTAAAGTTTGAAGATTATAAAAAAGCAAAGAGTCATTATCCTAAAAGCTAGAGTTTGAAAATTAAAAACAACTAACAGATAATAACAAAAAGATAAGGTTACATGATGATATAAAATATTCAAATTAATAATTATCCTTAGCATCCCCTTGCAAGATGGAGAGTGGTCAAACTCCAATCTTGAACCGAATACCAGTTAAGCGAGCACTAGAGAACGGTTTGGCGAGAGCATCAGCAAGTTGATCGGTAGAGGAGACATGAGAGACACAAAGTTCACCAAATTGAACTTTTTCACGAACAAAGTGATAGTCGATAGCAATATGCTTTATACGAGAGTGGAAAACTAGATTAGCACAAAGATAAGTAGCACCAATATTATCACAATAAACTGGGGGTGGCTCACGAAAGTAATACCAAGTTCACATAGGAATGAGTGTATCCAAGTGATTTTAGCCACAGTAGATGCAAAGGATAGATTCGGTACTCGACTTCAGTAGACGATCTAGCAACGAACTTTCGCTTTCGAGAACTCCAGGAAATTGCATTGGCACCTAGGAAAACAATATGGGCATTGGTAGAAGAATGATCATCATGGTTACCTGCCCAATCAGCATCAAAAAAGCTAAGCGGAGACTTGCAATGTAGGAGGATATCATAAGTGATAGTGGCACATAAATAACGGAGCAAAAGTTTGACAGTAGTCCAGTGGCCACTTGTAGGGAGGTGCATGAATTGAGATAACTTACCAGTAGTGTAAGCAATGTCAGGCCTAGTAAGGGAGAGATACTATAGAGCACCAACAATAGATCGAAACTCTGTAGGATCAGATAAAGAGGTGACATCAAATAGGGTTGGAACTTGGCCTGGAGACATTGGAGAAGAGACAGGTTTTACATTGGTTATTTTTGTGCGAGCAAGGAGATCGACAATATAAGTGTGTTAAGTGAGGAACAGGCCTTTAGAGCAGGGAATGACCTCTACTCCTAAGAAGTACGAAAGAGAGCCCAAGTCTTTGATAGAGAACCGATTAGCTAGATCAATCACTATTCAATCAAGAAAGGCATCATTATTTCCTGTAATAATCACATCATCCACATAGACCAACAGACAAACAATGAAGCCAGTCATATTATATATAAATAATGAAATGTCAGCTACAGAGTTGGTACAACCAGTTGAAAGTAAGAATTGTTTAAGTTCATGATACCAGTCTGAAGGGCCTGTTTGAGGCCATAGAGTGCTTTTCATAAGCGACAAATATGATTTGGATATTGCGAATCAACAAAGCCAGGGGATTGTTGCATGTAAATCTCTATGACCAAAGTGCTATGGACGAATGCATCATTAACATCAAGTTGCCACAAAGACCAGCCAAAAGAAAGTATAAGACTCAAGACAAGAAGAACAATTGTAGGTTTAATGACAGGACTGAACGTCTTATTAAATTCAATTCCTGGACAGTGATGAAATCCTTTGTCTACTAAATGATGTTGTGAATGTTGTGAGGAGAACAAGTTCCCATGTCCCATTCTGAAGTAAGGCATCAAATTTAGCAGACATTGCATGGCTCCTATTTGGGTTTTTGAGAGCCTACAAAACACATGTAGGTTCAAGAGTTAGTGTATTAGCTGTGGTGGTAAGGTGCAAATGTTTGGTGAAGGGTTTTGAAATGTTATTTTTGGCTCAAGTTTGCATGGGATGAGCGTTGGAGGGTAGGGCATAAAGAAGGGGCACACTATGGAGTTGAGTATGGTCAATGGAGTTAGGATTGAGCTGAGATTGGCTTAGGTTGTTGTTAGGATACTTAAAAAAAGGATCTTTGGGGTAACGGGTAGGACATGGGACTGTAGAGTTTTGGGCAGAGAAAGTGGTTGCGTGTTAGGATGATGTGGATGGAGTTTTTGAAGTTAGTGGAGAGAAACTAGTATTTGAATTATGAGGAATTGGGGAAGTGGAAGATGGGTTAAGGAAATAAACTACGTGGCAATTCGTGGAGTATAAAAGTATGGTGGCGATGAAGTATTCAACCCGATTTTGTTGCCAAGACGTTCAAAAAAGGAGACAGAAGACAAGTAGTGTCGACAGAGCTAGGAAAGGAAGTATGAAAACTAGGATGTTTGAAAGGGAAAACAGACTCAACAAATGTGACGTGACAAGAAGTATAAATTTTATTTGTGGACGAATCTAGACACAGATAGGCATTCTAGGATAGAGTAGACTAGAAAGACACATGGTTTGAACTTGGACTCAATTTTGTTGGATGTATAGGGCCGAAGCTAAGGATAACACAGTTAACCAAAAATGCATAATTTGTCCAAATTAGGGGAACAAGAAAATAAGAGTGCGTTTGATTGACATGGAAAATATCACTTAGAAATGAAAATATTTTCCTTCTTTTGTGGAAAATAAAAACCACATCCACCTAAGGAAAATGTTTTCCTTAAAAACAAGGAAAATTAGACATATTTTCAAAAGTTGGAAAATATTTTCCATGGAAAAAAATAACAATCAAACACCTCAAGTAGGAATTTGGGTGGAAAATTGATATTTTTCATGGAAAATAAATGTAATTAAACACATCATAATTTCCCAAAGGATGACATATATGACAAATTAATCTAAGGCATACAATTTATAAGATAGACCACGGTTGCAAAAGCATAAGACCAATAACCAATGGGCATAGATGCATGATATAACAAAGTGAGACCAGTTTCAGCAATATGACGATGGCGATGTTTGACAAAGCCGTTATGTTTCAGAGTGTGAGGGGGAGAGGAAAGATGGGAAATTTCAGTAGTAGCTAAGCAATTTTTCATAGTAAGGTTTTCACCTCCATTATCAGTGCATAAACGAACAATTTGTGCGTCGAAAGATTTGCGACTCATGGGATAAAACCATAAATATTTGATGAAGTAATCAATGAAAATAATGTAGTATTTAAATCCATCAAAAGACTCAACAAGAGAACACTAAACATTAGAATAAACTAAATTAAGAGGAGAATCACTAGCATGACTGGATTTAGAAAAAGGTATTTTGTGACTCTTGTTACAAAGACATGAATCACAATTATTGATCCTAAGATGACGAGAAGACAACGGTATTCATTCACAGGAAAGTAAATGATAAGCAATTTTGCAAAGGGATGACCTAGATGTGAATGCTAATCAGTCACAAAGCATTTGACAGAGGAAAAGGGAATGACAAGGAGATGGATGAGGAGTTGCATTCGACCAATCATATATTCCATCCTTTATTTGACCACGTAGGAGTATGGTTCCCTTTTTCAAATCCTTCACAGAAAATGAATTAGATAAAAATTCAACATAAACATTATTTGTGAGATGAAATTGTGAAAAGAAATTAAATTTCTTTTTCTTAGATGGAACACATAAAACATTGGATAAAGTGAAGGGAATGGATTTAGATGATAAAAAGATGGAACCCAAGTGAGAAATTGAGAGCCGGTTCCATCACCAATCATGACATCATCTAGAACAGTATACTTAGAGTGAAGGGAAAGGTTCTGTAGGTCACTAGTAATGTGATGAGATGCCTCGGAGTCAAGAATCCAATTAGAAGAGGTTACTGGGTAGCAATATTGGCTTGAGGGGTATATGGCTAAGATGGTGTTTGGGGGGTTAGGAGTAGTAAATTTTTTTAGGCCAGGGAACATGTTTGAGATGAGGACACCTTCAGGTGGAATGCTCTTTTTTATCACAAGATTGATAGGTTCCACGATAAGGTCTTAGGTTTGTTTGGTTAGGGTGAGGACCGAATTAGAATGGTTGGTATCTATTTTGTTGGGATTGAGACTATGAGTGGGTAGGGTATGTAGGCCTTGGACCAAAGGAAGGTCGGTGAAGATATGTCTTAACAGCAATATTGGCCGTAACAAAAGTAGGTGATGTTTTGGCAGCTCCATGCTTCATAAGGCTTTAGAAGTGAACATTGTCTCATGAAGCTCATCGAAAGAGATTGTGGTTTCATGAGCACGTATAGTAGAACTTCGAGCGTTAAATTCATCACAAGGTTGGATAGGATTTTATCTGTAGGGAGATTTGGTACAATGAGTGTATTTATGAGGAAGAGCGTATCTGAAAGAGATTTATCATACTGTATATACTCTATGATCGATTGAGATCCTTTATGTAGGTGATCAAGGAGATTGGAGACTTGCATGAGACGCCCACGAGAAGGTGTAGCATAGGTGTTATAGAGAGAAAGCCATGCTTGACGGAGAATTTTGCCATGGCCATGAACGGCGTAAGTGTTGGGGGAGAGGGAGAGAGCCGATAATTGCATTTAAAAGAAATAGATCTTATTGAATCCAAGAAAGTATGTTGGATTTGGAAAAGAGACATTATCGGTTATAATGGGGAGAAATGGAGTGGGAAATGAACCATCGATATAGCCGAATATATTGTAGACAATGAGGAGAGTTTGAAACTGTTGGCGCTAGGAAGAATGATTTGTTTGATTGAGTTTAATGGGACATTGGATGGAGAAGTTTATAGTGATGAGAGAATTGTTGTTGTCAAGTGGGTTGAGGAGGGAGAGTTAAGAAATAGTGGTGGTGGGACTAGTGCTAGGTGTTGAGCTAATATCAGTAGAGGAGGTAGTTGTT